GAGTGGTGGTGGAGCGAGGGGAGGAGGGGCCAGCTGCTTGTACCCGGGGTTCCAGGGTACCAGGCTTTGAGAAGTTCTGAGTCCTTATTTGAGGCAAAGAGCAAGCTACCTGCATGGGTTTGGAACAAAGTCCTCTGGCTTCCCCATTTTCCTCCAGCGGATGCCAGAGAGCATCTCCTGAACTTTCATACACTGGTGGCTTCAAGTTGCCTTGTCCCATTTCCCTGTTACTGCAGCAGCGTCTACATGTACCAGGGTTTGGGTACATTGCACTAGGTTCATGTGATCCCTCCCTTTTTCTCTCTTTGTCTATTTCAAATGTGCTCCCTGGTGTTGGTGGCGATGCTGATATGGCTTCTGTGGCTCTGATGTGGGCCTCCAGGACAAGGAGAAGGTAAGTGTGTCCTCCCCCTGCTTCCTGCCAGGGTCCTCGAGCCTGGCACCAACTCTAGCCAAGTGAAGGAACTTGGAGATGATCTTTTCCAATGTATGGACTGAGAAATGGGGACGGATTCTAGACACTAGGGTCAGAGTCAAGTCAAAGCTGAACGTGGGGTGTCTGGGTCCTGAGAGGCACAGTGGTGAGCCTAGAGTCCCAGATGTGTTCTCAGTGCCTCTGTGTGGTAGATATCCTTGCAGGAGCTGAGGTCTTAGTGATATCGGGAGTCTGATTGCACGGGCCCTGCCATTCTGATACCCTGTGTTCCCAATGGCAGGCCAGGGAGAATGGCTCTGATAGCTTCATGCACTCCATGGACCCTCAGCTGGAGCGGCAGGTGGAGACCATTCGGAACCTGGTAGACTCGTACATGGCCATTGTCAACAAGACTGTGCGGGATCTCATGCCTAAGACCATCATGCACCTCATGATCAACAATGTATGTCCACAGCTGGGGTGGGGGAGGGAGCGGTGCAGGGTAGTTGTGTGGGACCAAGCAGCCAGCGGGCTTATCTTTCCTTTTGTATTATTTATATATATGCACAGGGCAGGGGAACTCAAACTCATGCCATTTGTTTTTGTGTAGGTAATGGGACAACTTGAGGGAGTTGGTTCTCTCCTTTCACCATGAGGGTCTCAAGGATTGAACTCGGGTCATCAGGCTTTGCACTAAACTATCCCATAATCCTCAAACCCTTATTTATTTACCTATTTTCAAGACAAGCACTCACTATGTAGCTCTGGCTGGCCTTGAGCTCACAGAGATCTGCCTACCTTTGCCACCCAAGAGCTGGGATTAAAAGTTTGGACACTATACCTGGTTCCAAAATCCTTAATTTTAATAGCCCATGATATCCAAAATACTATTGTTTTGACTTTTGAGCTAGGGTCTTGTTGTGGAGCTCAGGCTGACTTCAAACTTGTGGGTGACCTCTACCTGGCTCTCTCCATCTCCTGAGTGCTGAGGTGGCAGGCATGTCCCACAATAACTGGCTCCAATCTAAAAATACATTAGTTATACATTGCACACTGTTTTCCCATTAAGCTTTTGTAAACCCACTCCAGATGTTACACATCTGGTGGAAATGTCATCTTAATTTGAATTCCAGGAAACTTGCAGTTGAAAAATAGATACACATACCCAGATTGTCCCAAACATGCATGTTCTTCAGGAACAGCCAATAGTCTCCATTTTTTGAAATGAAACACAGCTCTCAGAGCCACCACAGACTGTGGCTTAGTGAAAAAGCAGGGCCCCAGGACAGCAGAAGTGGGTTGTGATGAACCTCCATCTCTGACTCTATTTCCTAATGTATAAACCATGGATGGTAATAATAGAGCTGAGAACAGCATTGCTTATGAAGTGTGGAGCAGCACAGAGCCTGGCTCATGGAGGGGGGGTGTTCGTAGATTGTTGGGTGAGGAGGCAGTGAGATTGGAGCAGGCTACAATGTGTCAACAAGTCACAATACTGCCCCACACTGGGGCAATCTTTTTTTGTTTGTTTTGTTTTGTTTTTTTGAGACAGGGATTCTCTGCATAGTCCTGGCTGTCCTGATGCTCACTTTGTAGACCAGGCTGGCCTTGAACTCACAGAGATCCTCCTGCCTCTGCCTCCAAAGTTCTGTGATTAAAGATGTGCAGCACCACCGCGCAGCACTGCCTGGGGATTTTAAATGGGAATTAAACCTCCACTACACACACTGATACTTCTCACTCAATCCAAGGACACATTATAATTATGTTTATTTCTTTCTTAGGGACTCAGGACATTTTAAACTATCTCCTTCCTTATTTGGGTCTTGGGAAAGGCTCATAAACTTAGTAGGCAGTTGTCCTAGTGGCATGCTAGGTTTCTGAGTCTCATCCCAGATCACAGACAGAGGGCAAGTGACTTCCCTCTCTGGCTATGTCTGAGAAAAGGACATTAGATGGGGTTTGGAGAGACCTACGGGTTTGGGCACCAAGCAGAAGTAGGCATCTGAAATGCCAAACTCCAGCTCCCAGTTCTACACCTAATCCCAGAAGGTCTGGCCAGCGACAGGGTGGCATGGTCATCAGGTTCCTTCCGTCTCTGCTCTCTCACAGACCAAGGAGTTTATCTTCTCCGAGCTGCTGGCCAACCTGTACTCTTGCGGGGACCAGAACACACTGATGGAGGAATCGGCCGAGCAAGCTCAGCGGCGCGATGAGATGCTGCGCATGTACCACGCACTGAAGGAGGCGCTCAGCATTATCGGCGACATCAACACGACCACCGTCAGCACGCCCATGCCCCCGCCCGTGGACGA